CCCCAAAACCCCAAAACCCCAAAACCCCAAAACCCCAAAACCCCAAAACCCCTTTTTAGATATAATTTATTGAAAAATGGACGGTCCTGAGGTGAGTCTTGCAACAAACTTATGGGTTGATAGGAATTAATCCTATGTTCTAGGGCTCACCACAGTGTACCAAAGATATGGTCGATAACTGCCAGATACAATGCTGGTACCCACAGTTTAAGAAAATCACATTTAAGGTAAAAATTATCGAACTTCCTTCTGAATTTCGAAATTATTTGGAGGAAGATGGGGTGTTTATGCCTCAAAATTATTATGTTGAAGATGGTAAGATCATATATTACTTCCCTTAGATCAAGACTCAAATTCAGATGAAGAGTCGATAGAGAGTGAAGATAAAACACCGAAGTATGACTTCTCAGCTCTTGAAGAGGAGATCAAAGCAACAGTTGATGAATATGATGAGAAAGTCTTTATCAAACTCAACTGGAGCGCTCCAAGAGATGCTAATTGGCTCGTCCCAAACTTGCATTGTGAGAGCACGCAAGAAATTTATAGGTATATTTTAGCAATAATTAGAAATAGTCTGCTTAAGTCATCAGTCTTTATCTCACATGATGTCTCAGCTGCTTACCAAGGTTGAGTTGATCATGAAGGAAACTCAGCTCCTGAGAAATTATGTAGTTTGGGTAGTTATATTTTATAGATCTTGCTTTAAAGAAATATCACCATAATGTTCGAACTCATCGAGAAAATGAATTCAGATGTTTTGTAAAAGAAAATACTCTTATCTGAGTTACCCAAAGAGACACCCAAGTATACTATCCCTCTTTAGAAACTCAGCTCGAGCAGTTTAAGCCTTTAATATTGGACTTTTTCAATGACCACCTCCAAGGACACTTTGCAGATCCAAGTTTTGTGTTTGATATTTACATCGATATTCCTCCAAACAACAAAGTCTGGTTGGTCGACTTCAACCCATGGCATTCCAAAACAGACCCTGGGCTTTTAGATTGGAGTGAAGTCATGGCACATCCTACTTCAGACCCTGTGGAGTGGAGGATCATCACTGAAGAAACTGGAGTCAGAGCCAATGAGATGTCTCAATACAAGGTGCCTGCAGAGATCGTTGAAGCCCCCAACTCAGACGAAGTCAAGCAGTTCTTCGACGACATGAGGGGTGCCACTTCAGAATAATTGTTCAATTTTGGGGGAGTAATTAGGGGTTTTGGGGTTTTGGGGTTTTGGGGAGA